GGGGGGGGGATGCCACTTGTGCCTCTTGCACAGACGTTTGAGAAAATGCTCCCACCCCACCTCCACCCTGTTCCCATCTTGGCTGAATGTCTTGGCCACATTCCTGTGGGCCCAAGGCTCCCAGGGCAGGGTGCCGGAGTTACTAGCTCTGCTGTGGCTCTCTTTCTTCACACGGTTCAGGTCAATGCTGTTTTCCTTGGAAGGTCCAGCCTCAGTGTCTGGTGGGGGAAAAGCGATAGCCTAGCCACTATCGTGAGTTGTCCTCTGCTTCATTTCTCCTCCTGATGCCTGTCAGGCACCCGAGATAAAGAGGGCTTCCCGACGTCCTCAGTTGTCACCGACGCAGCCGGGCAGTCCGTGCTCAGTCGCCTCGCCTCTCCCCATTTCCCATTTCTAAACGCGCAGCATTGATTTGCACATAGCACATGCTGCCTCCAAATAATTGACAAATCTCCCTCCTCAGCATAGCCAATGGGATCAGATGAACAACTGGAATTTTCAGCCACTCCACACCTCCCCCCCCCATCCCGTGGAGACTAAGAAAAAAAATGCACATCTAGGAACAATATGTGCAAGCGTGGTCTCCTGGCAATTTGCAGCCAATTACAAGTGTACATTGCTTTGCACAATGGATGTGCTGCAGAAAAGGTTATATGCAAATCGAATTTTTGTAAATTGAATTATATTTAACATGCACCAAGGGAGTGGGCTATTTTAGGGAGACCAAAGTTGAATTCATTTTGTGGGGCAAGGAACCGTTTTTTTTAAAGCAAGTTACCATCCTCCAATTCATATATATATTTCAGATAAGATCAGTGTTTACTATGACTTTTCTGAACTGCAGCATCCCTACAGCGCTGAAATGATAATAAGATAGTCAGGATCTCATCAGAGTTCTAGAGGTAGGAGAAGGAAGGTACAAACTAATGATTCTGCTCCCGACGGGAAGGTGGATGAGACAAAAGGGAGACTTGCCAGCATTAATCTGTGAGCTTCCCTGTAGTGCTATTGTTGTTTGGGTCTAAGTGCAAGGGACTCACCTCAGCCGGAGCTCTTGGTGCCTGTTACATTATTCTCCCTGGGGATTGCAGACCCCCCACCCCACCCCAGATGATGTTATGTAACAATGGGCAGCCTAATCAGAGCCCTGTTAACCTTTAGATCGTCTCAGCAGGGGGTCTGTGGCCTCTGGGCTCTGTAAGGCCTCCACAAACGCCTGGGACCTGAAAGAGCACTGTGTGTGTGTGTGTGTGTGTGTGTGTGTGTGTGTGTGTGTGTGTGTGTGCGCAAATCAAAATGAACAAACCCAGAGGTAAAGAGCCGCAAACTGTGACACTGTGTCAACTTCATTAATTGTGACGTTTAGCATTCATAAAAATTTAATTACCTAAGAATTAGAACAAAAGAAATACAACTGCCATTATTCATGGCTACTGTAATAGTCCACACTGAAAAAAAAAATAAAGTTCCTAGGGAATCTAGAGACAAACTGTGTTGGTCAATACAGGCTGGGTTATCTTTGAGGAAACATCTAACCCTGAAATGGCAGTAACACAATACAAAGACGATTTCTTTCTTTCTCAGGGATGAGGTTTGAGTGACTCTCTATAATGATGTGGTTCATCAGCGACGACCTGCCACTTCCACAGGGGGCATCCAAGCCTGCTTCACTCATGAGCTTCCCGTTGTCTCTGCCCAGAAAGGTATCATCGCTTCTCGGTTTCATGGGCTGCAGCTGGTTACATGTGCTTGGGAGGTACAGTTTTTAGTACATTTAGAGACACCTGATCTTGTTTATGATGTATACTACTAAAATCTGTAAGAACCCATTAAGATAAATATAATGAGCTCACTCCATTCCTATACAGCTGGGGACTTAAACAGATATAAATACAAAAGGCAACAAAAGCCATTGGACACCTCAGGACAAATTTATCATAAAATCTGCAAGAGTTCTGTACACATAGAACTTTATTAAAGGATAGGAAAGAAACCAGTCCTCTTTCTACTGTTTGCATTGAGTATGATTGTGATTGAAACATGAATTTCTTGATACTGGTAAGGACATCTTATCCAATGGCTAGAAAAAAAAAAAAGACAACTTGTAGAAGATGACTATGGGTGACAGACAGAAAATGTACTGAAAGCAAGTGAGGAGGATGTTCTTTTCGTTGCAGATAAGTAGACAAAGGCTACAGAGAGGTTGGGCAGCTCTCCAAGATGGAACATCCTATTGGAGAAAGGTGACAATATTAGTCAGTGCAGAAAGAGGTCAACCAGCCATTGGCATCACTGGCTAGTCTTAAAAGATAATATAGGCCGAGGCAGGAGGATTACCATGAGTTTGAAGCCAGCCTGGCCTAAATAGTGAGTTCCAGGCCATCCTAGACTCTAGTGTGAGGACGTGTCTCAAAGAGATAACAATAATAACAATAAAAATCACAGATTATAAATGATCATAAATATTTGAAGTAAAATAATATCAAAACACAAAACTATATAAGAAATTTTCAGGAAGCGGTGAGAGAGGTCGGGGGAAGTATCAGGGGAGCAGATGTGAGATGAACAAGGACGCATATGTATGAAAATATTATAAGGAAACTCAAAAACTTAAGAGAAAGAAAATAAAAGGTTTTCCCCAGGTTTCCTTACAGTAAAAATAGTATTTTTAGTGTACATTTCGGGTATATTTTGGTATGTTTCAGAGGATTTGAAATGGAGCTCGGAAACACAAGGGTCCACCACAGTCCCATCCTGCAATCGCATTGATTGTTTGATCTCCACGGAATGCCAACAGGGCAGAGTTTGAACTCTTCAGCAAGGATGGTGAGGAGCTTCCAGGGCTTCAGGCAGCCCATTCAGTTAGGCTTGTGTTTGGAGCAAGACGGAGTGGCAGGGATATGGCGTTGAGAGGGACATCTTACAAGCTGCCCGTGTCCCTGTTAGAACAGGCTTGGTGGGTCTGTGGCACAGGGCTAACCTGGGACTTCCGGAAAGGAGAGCAAATCTTCCTAAAGGAAACCACTTCAAGGAAGAAATGGTCAAGGACAGTAGCCTGGTCCAAAGACTGAGTCACAGGAAAAAGAAGGAAGTGACTTTGAACCTCCCATTCTCAAGGTTTAGATCCGCTTTCTTTTTTTAATGGGTTTGCTCAGAATAAAAGAGTATTCCTTGCCTTTTCCTATAGCTCACCACCACTATCTGTCTACCATGCAGCTTCCTTCTGCTCCGGATGTCACACTATTGAGCTACACCATCTTTTTTGTTTTTCCCTGTGTCCTACATCCCCTATTTACCACCAATCAATGGCCAAAGATCACAATTCCAGAGTAACTGGCTCACTTAGCTCACCCTGCCCCCTACACACACACACACTGGAGCTAATTACAGAGAGGCTGTCATTGGAAGACAGAGAACACAGGACCAAAAGGATTCTAGAAAACAGGACTAGGGAAATCAATAGGACACTTACCTTCTTCCTGACACTGCTGGAGCTGCCCGTCTACATAATGGAAAATCTCAAGTGGTGGAGAGGCCGGCTGTTCTCTATGACTGTAATGGTTTATCTCGATGGTCACCTTGACAGGATCTTGAAGCTCCTTGGCATCGTATCTCTGCACACACCTGTGAGAGAGTTTGTAGACTGGGTTAATTGAGGTGTGAAGGTCCACAGTAAGCTTGGGTGGTAGCACCCCATGTGTTTGGGTCCCAGATTGAAGTCAGTCCAGGAAGAGAAAGGAGCAGAGCACAGAGCACCAACATTCACTTCTGTTTCTTGACTGTAGATGCCCTCGTGTTCCATGCTTTCCCACTATGATGGACCACAGCCTCGAACTGCAAGCCAACAACAACCCTTCCTCCTTTAAATGGCTTCATCTCAGGCATTTTATCATAGTAACGAGAAAAACAACAAAAAACATAAAAACAAGAGAGCAACCATGGCTACCCATGCTTCCTGCTCAATAGGCCACTGAACCTCGTTGTATCATGACTTGGGAGACAACTCAATAACTGGTACATTTTCCCAGGGTGATACGTGAACATTCAGCTGTATTGATGATACCATAGAAATGATTTGGCATGGCCTTATTGAGATGGTGGTCACAGAATTAGGTAGAAATGAAAGGAGACCCAATTGAGTGTCATTTAAATATCCCTTGTAAAAAGTTTTAATATGAGGGACTCAGGGGGTGAGAAGCATAGAATGAGGTAGGAAGGAGAGAAACTGAATTCAAGGATATGGTAAAGAAATGTAGTGACAGAGATCTGAGAAGTCTAATATCAGGGAGTGACCTGTCACACATTTGAGTATTGACAGCAACCATCAACAGGAGAAGCTTCATGTATCAGCTCTGAGTCAAGGATATAATTCCGGTCAGTGTCCTGGCATCCTGGCTTTTAATCATGACTAAACTCAAGCCAGCTCAAAATGCCACCCTAAAAAGTGCTTAGGAAGGTTTCTTCAGTTTCTTTTGAATGATGTATGTTGTGTGACATTTTGATTGCATTCCGACAATAAAGCTTGCTTTGAGTCAGAGGGCAGAGATAGCCTCTAGCTGACCAAAATTAACCATACAGGTCTTGGAGGACTGAGGACAGATAGGAGACAGGAAGTAGCAAGGCAGGGCTGAGAGAAGATATCAGCCCTTTTGGATTGAGGAATGGAAGAAAGAGGAGGCTACTGGTGGCTTCTCCGTTGATTCTCGGATCTCTCAGGTTCTTACCCCGATATCTGATTCCTGATTTTTTTTTTATTGATAAAGCATAATTAGATAAATACTTCAGACAGACTTTTTTTCCCTTGGTGCTATGCATCTTTTAAACTAGAAAGATTTAAATATATTTCCCTTAAATCTATATCCATATGTATACATACTAATACTTTTACATATATAAAATGTATAGACTTTTTTTTCTAAGAAAATTTAGGGAATAAGAGAAATTGGTAGTAAATTTGTGCACATTCATTAATTTTGGAGAACCTGTACTGATTAACAGAATTTTGCTTGTGTGTATGTGTGTGTGTGCATGATTGCGTGCACACATGCAGAGTTCCACAACACCCTACTAAAAGTCAAATTTTGGAAGCTCACTTTAATACACAAGTGTTCGAGTTAGCTACAGTGACATTCTGACAACCTTTAGTGAACACAAAAGGTTATATCAAAGACAGCAAAAACTCATACGTATCTTTAAAAAATATCAAAACTCCCATATTAGGAAGGATTGTCCTTTAAAATAGTCATCTGGAGGCCCTCAGTGCTTTCTTTGATGGCTCAAAACTCCCTTCAAACTCACTTGAGATTATTTTAGTATATCCTTTTCCCATTGTCAGACATATTCCAATGTCTGAGTCAGAGACTGGATGACAAAATCACCTAACACAAAACTGAACATGTCTCCACTCTACATGTTTGCATTTGACACAGACACCCAAAGGGATGTGCTTGGGGCATGGCGGAAGACTTCCTTTCCACTTGTCCTTCCTGGTCCCTCTCCAATCATGCTTTGAGGGGCTTTGCTTTTTTCCTGGAGAGTAAAGGGGTTTTCCGATCCAAAGCTCAACATAGGCACAGATGGGAAAGTCTTCTGAGACTAAAATTCACTAAGTTTTGAGGTGGGGAGTTTGGTCTGGGGCTTCTAATGGAAGTGGGGATGTTCAGAGTGTGAGGGTTGGGTCTGGGGTGTTCCTTGGGGGTTGGTGATATGTTTCTGTAGCACCAAGCAGATGTGTTCAGAGACAGAAACAAACCCACCCAACAGAGCAGGGACTCAGAGCGCTGAGTCCTTGGGAAGCCAGTGACAATTACTTCTGGACGTGGCTGATAATACATTTCCTTTGGTGTTCGCAGTCTAAATTCCAAAGGGGGTGGAGCAGGATGGGAAGGGTGAGTGGAAAGGCAGATTATAGAGGAAAAAAATACAAAAGAAAAATCCCTGCATTTGACTTGGCATCTTACAGCCACACTGACTTGGACACTAAGGATCTTTGCTGTTGCCTTTTATTCATTTTTTTGTTTGTTTGTGAAACAGAAAACTTCACACACACACACACACACACACACACACACACACACACACACACACACACACACATCATGTTTCCTCATCTGACTATTTGCCTGTTCCTGGCTGTGCAACACCTCTCAACTTTATTAAATATAATTATACAAAGAGTGGGTCATGGAATAGAGATATCCCCTCCTGAGTAATTTAAAACAAAATTTTCTTAAAAAAAAAAAAACAATAGATTTGCACTTGATTTTCTTTTTGAACTCCATCAAATCAATGACAAAGTGACTCCTTCGTATTTGCTCGGAAGTCAATTGCTTTTAATGCATGTCAGGTAATCCTAAAAACAAATTCTACCGAGCTTCAAGGGGAATCTCAGGTGCGTGCTCTGCATGAACGGTAAAGGCTGTTTCACAAAGGGCTGGGTACTCTGCCTCTGCACAGTCTTCTACCCTTGGAGCAGGCGCGTTGACATGGCCAGGTGCTGTTTATGCATCTCCCGAATGAATCTGCATCAGTAGGCACGATCTGAGAAGACCAGAGAAGCCCTGGGCGCCTCTCAGGGCAATTCATTTGTTCATTCATTCACTCATTCATTCAAGCAAAGTCTTCACTAAGCATTTAACGTGCCCACGACACAGGCAAAGCTCTGGACTCGGGTCTGTAAAGTTGTGCGAACTGATTTCTTTCTGTGAAGTCCTATCAAGGACACAGCCTCTCAAGGGGGGCCTGCTCCACTTAGCATTGGAAATTACAGTGTGGCTCAGCAGGCAAAGTGGATTACTAACAATTAATAATGATTACTATAGTCTAAGGGGTTCTAAGTTCTCATTTATTCCAGAATGGTCCTGGGACCTCAGTTGGAATATATGGATAATGGGGGAAATACCTTCTCTCTTGAGGACCATCGTGGCAAAATTCGAGCAAGATTGGAGGGTAAATAATGAGCAGGAAAGGTGGCAGAGGTAGTGGAGGGCACAAAAGAGCCCTGAGTTCGTAAGGTGTTTACTCACCAAGGGTAGGATTCACGGGGGGAGTCATTCATCTTTACAGGGCCTCAGTTTGCTCATTTTTAAACCAGAGGAAACGGTAGCTTCCATGTAGGTTAGTGTGAGGATCAAATAAGATGCCATGAAAGAAGTGCTCTGTGTAATGTCAGGATGTGGTGAGACCCAGACCAGCACTTAATGAACAAGTGGATGATTAGAAAGGCAACTCGTGTAGAAGCCAGAGAAAGAGACTGAGCCAGAGAAAACCGATGTCTCACCTCCTTTCACTGGCCTCTTTTCACTGGGGCCGGGGCTTCTGTGCTCAACCCCTGTGCCGGTGTGACAGCTAATGGTAGCCTTCCGGCATTGACATAGCTCACATTGATAGAACTGACTCTAATAAGATCATTCCATGTCTACCGAAACTCCGCTTTCAAATATTCTTCCTAAAGGACTTGTATTCATGCTGAAGCAATTGCCCCACATTGCAGTTTGGAAATTATGGTTACTGTTCACTTGGCTCTCTTTAGGAAACTAGGCCATGAAGACTTCTTCCGGCTACCCTGAGAGTTTGTCTCCTCATATTGTCGCCTACTTTGCTTTCTGTCTTACGTCCTGTACTTTTCCTATCCCAGGCAGTGGTATGGGACTAGAGCAGGGTATTGGGGATAATTGGGGGTGGGGGGTGCATAAAGACATGTGCTCCTGGCTCTCCACTACACAGGGAGCCTGGAGAAGTAATAACTGTTGTTTTGAGGAAACTGACCTCCAGTCTTTCCTCCTTCATCAGGATTTCACAGGCTCTGCTATCCAGATATTTTGGGAACATGCCAGAGGGAATGATCTGGCAATCTACAAAAAGTTCAAAATTCATAGTCATCTTTAAAATGATTTCAGGGGTGTGGGTGAGATGGCTGAGCACATAAAACTCAAGAAGGCCGAAAACCTGAGTTTGATTCCAAAAAGCTACGTAAAAAAAGCCAGATGTGGTGGTGCAACTATATCTCAGCTCTTTGATAGTGAGACCAGAGGCAATGACAGAAGTTTCCAGAAGTACAACAGAAACAGGAGATGTTGCCTCAACAAGTCGAAGAAGAGAATCAACACCTGAATTTTATTATTCTCTGACTCCTCCATGTGTGTTGGGCCATGCATGCACTTGTACACACACACATACACACACACACACACACACACACACACACACACACACTTTTCTTTTTGGTTTAATTTTTTTTCTAATGATTTTAGGCTAATTCCTGAACCAATAAGCGCTGGCTTACTGGTTTATAAAACGGAACCTATTATTGCCTTTGGATGATGAAACAAGATAATGTTGGGGAAAAACAACACAAACTGTAGGCCAAAAAAATGTTAGTTTTGGCCAGGCATGGTGGTACAAGCCTATAATCCCAGCACATGGGAGGTGTAGACAAGAGTTTTGGAGTTTAAGCTACTCAGGGAGACCCTGTCTCTAAAAACAAACAAACACACAAACAAGAAACGTTAATCTTGATCCCCACAGTATTTTGAATCTCTCTGGTCCTCAGGTCAATGAGCAGGATGGATTTCAGCCCTTGGTGTTTTTTACGTTGTTGTCACTGTTTTTTTGTTTGTTTTTCTTTTCTTTCTTTCTTTTTTGTTTTTTTTCCTGAGAGAGGGTTCCTCTCTGTCCTGGATCTTGCTCTGTAGACCAGGTTGGCCTTGAACTCACAGAGATCTACCTGGCTCTGCCTCCTGAGTGCTGGGATTAAAGGCATGCACTGCCCGGCTGTTTTATTTGTTTTTACCAGCATGAGGCAAGAAAACAGACATGTCACTTCTACCTGAGACACAGAAGCATGCATGACCTTCAGTGTGACATTAGGGGTGTCCAGGAGCTGTAGACCATGGTCTAGCCCAAGTTGTCCTCTTTGGCTGCCCCTGGGGGATCAGTCTCTAGAAAGATATTGTTTCCCACCTCCATGGAGAGGTTCCCATGTGGGCAGGCCATTAACTTCTTCCTTCACAGGTGTCATTGCCAGCAGGCCATAGACACTGTCCCTCCCAGCTCTCCCAGGAAAGATGTACATGATTCTCGTTCCCTTCTGAACCTTGGGCCTGTCCCCAGCTTCAGTGACAGAATGCAGAGTCCAGATTTACACTGTGAACCCATTTAGAGCATAGACTTGAGTTTGAACCAACCATGAAAACCTGTACTTACAAACCTGTGTTTCAGCCCCTTAAGTGGGGGAAACTAATATGCAAGAAACAAGAGCCAAGACCCAAAGCATCACACTCTTGGCTGGCAGGGCACCTGCCAAGAAGTGCACTTCCCGTTTCCCAGTCCCTTTTGTCCTGAGCTGCCCTTCTGTTCCCATCAAGTGGCCCAGGGCCTTGTTCTCTCCGGTCCTCCCTGCAGATGAGGACTTGGGAATTATTAACATCAGAAGCTCCATTGCCCCCCTTGGCTTATCGTTACTGAACAGGCAGAGCAGAGCTTTAGCCTACCATTGATTTAGATTAGTCTGTCCGTTTCGATATTATTAATTACCCAAGTTAGCCATACCACATGTCAACATCCAAATCCGACTTCTTCGGAATTAACTGTTTCACTTGCGGTGACTTTGCCCCGCAGCCGTACCTGCCCGCAGTCCTTCTTGCTTCCCAGGGCCGTGTGAAATGAATGCCTGGAAGGTATGGCTTCAACTACTGTCACCCAGTGTTATTAGGCTGGGGATCAACACAGGTCACTCCTTCCATGGGAGGCCACCGGGCTAATCTTTTGAAGTGACATTTCCCTAATAACGTAACATTTGCCAAAAGTTCTCCGTTGCATCTGCGGAAAGTAAACAGGAGGGTTAATTTAGTCCTCTGATCTCTTGTTATAAGCCTAATTATTTTACATGTCTTCATTTCATTAATGAATTGCCGCTTTCTACACGCCGCTCCTTCCCCATTGCTTTTGTTTAAACCTCCTGGTGGGAAGGGAGAGATTAATTTTGTTGTGCCTTAATGAAACTGTATGCTACATTAGATCTCACCATTTGGCATGCACTGCCAACATCACCATTATGCATAATGAATTATTTTTTGTGAGTCCCCAACTCCTGTAGACCTTCAGTGTTCTCCTTCAGACACCCCGAGGAAGCAACTGGCAGGCACTCACAGCGAGCTCAGTCACCGCCCCTGGTGTCTACGGAAGCAGGCCTGTCGCTTTTCACTTTCTGTCAGCTGCACGGAGGCATCTAGGTTTCTTGCTGGAAGGAACCCAGAGAGGTGATAGGTTTCCGGGGGGGGGGGGGGGGATCTCAAATGAAACTAGCCAATTAGTTTAAAGGTTGGGAGGACAGAGCCCGGAGCTAGGCGCCTGGAGGCAGGTCGGAAATTTGTTTGGTCGTTGTCTTCATATCTAAAGGGAACTAAAGTTTATCACAGCTCCTCAAGCAAGGGCCATCTGAGGTTGAGCTGGTCTAGCCTGGGCTTGGCTGGCAGCTTGGCTCCAGGCTCCACTGGCTGGGGTATCGCATGTCTCCATTTATCTTCAGGGACCAGCAAACTAACCAAAGTGATGGCAGAAGCTTACGAGGCCAAGGTCAAAGGCAGATTTAGAGCCTTATAGACATGATTATGCTCACATATTTAATGCACTCCCAAGTGTATTGCTAAGCCCAAAATCAAGAGACTAGGAGGTTTCCTCTGTGAAGGCAGAGGCATGCATACATGAGACTAGGAAAAGGCAAATGATTGAGACCAGCAACCAAGTTGTTGACATGGTTCTAGAGTTTGTCTGGGTTCTAGGTTGTAGCCACCACCAAACTTTCAAACTGATCCATATGCTAAAATTAAGGTGGGCCCAGCCTGGACTTATCCTTAGGCAGAGCTCCAAGCACATCGGGCTAGCAACTCCCTGACTTACCACTGAGACAAACCTGATCTAGTGTGGCTGGAACTAAGCCTCGTCTGAGTTGCATGCATTCTCATGACTAGAACTTGGGTTCCTAGTGGCTTACTGCTGAGTCTGTCCTAACGCTGTTTGAAAGCCATCTCCTTGGTTACCTAACTTGCCTGTTTCAGGACCTTTTCCGAATTGACTTGGAAACATTTTGTTTCAAAATCCTTACTAATTGTTTCTTGCCTCGATGTGTCTACAGGACACAAGCCCTTCCAGAAGGATCTCCATGTTTAAGGCTTGGAACAGCTGCCCTTTTGCTTAAAACTAGAGTTTGGTTTGTTCTTTATCTTGGAAACCGTCAACTTGACCTTATATGGCCTTGACCTTTCCCCCAATTAAAGTCCAGCTAGAAATAGGGGTACCCAATGCCAGAGGTCGATGGTGTCTTCCATTCTTCTGAGTGTTCTCTGCAACTCTTTTGATATTTAAAATGTATTTCTGTAGACCGGGGGTTGAAATTTAGGGCCTTGCACATGTCAGGCAAACACTCTGTCACCAAGATACACCCCAGTCTTTATTTCTAGACAAGGTCTTGCTACACTGCCTAGGCTGGCCTTGAGCTCATTCGGTAACCCAGGTAGGTCTTGAACTCAGAATCTTCCCACCCCAGGCTTCAAAGCAGCTAGGATGATGGCCCTGCAGTTTTAGAGAAAGCTAGGCCCTCAAAGCTGGGACAAACCAGGACAAATGGTTTAAATGCAGAGAGGACTAGGAACCCAAGGGGGCAGAGAAATACTCAACAAAACGATCGTTTAAAATTGTGTTACATGTTCTGGGTTAAGGAGCAGATGCTGCAGCCACAGGCAACAGTCTACAGACTCCACTTGCTTCACATGGAGAGTCCGACTCTTCCCTACGTACAGCATTTGTCTTCACGGTTCCCGGCACTGAGGTCATTTCCCCACGATGCTTCCCTCACTCATTCAAATCATTACGCCAGCACACCTGCCTACAGACTGCCACCTTGGCGCTTGTGTCTCTCCTGACCTCCCCAGTTGTCTTCGCTGCTCACCTTTCCTCCCCTCACGGGCACTCTCTGTCTCCCTCCCCTCCTTAACTTTTTTAGTCTGTGTACTTAATGCCATCTCACACACTGGGCACTTTTCCTTTTTTGTTTTGTCGATGGCCCCCTTCTTCCAGAGTCGATGTTCCTTGGTTGTCTGTTTTGATTTTTTTCAGCCTCTAGAATGTTTGGTAGAGCCTAGAATGTATAGCCTTCTAGAATGTGTAGTAAACACTCAAGCAATGGCAGCAGAAGGAGGGAAGGACAGAAGAAATGGTAGCCAGAGAGGGTTGGAGGAGAAATCCAGGTAGAAATCAAAGCAGGATGTACAATCGCATGAAGACAAAGTTCATATCCGGGACTTCAAGAGGTGAGTCGGCCGGGGGCTCAGAGGGCGCTGCTGAAGTTCAACATCCATCTCTGCTGGCTCCTCACCTGGAGTCACTCAAACTGAATTGATGATTCCTCCACCATCACTTAATGATGTCCTCCTTAGTTCAAATCCTACATGCACAGGCTGGTTGCTGATACAGCATCCATTTATTACTCAGCTAGAGAGCTCAGCATCTTCTGCCTCCCGAAGATGTCTTGACTGCACCTGCCTCTCACTCTCTCCATGGCCGTTATTTCTATCATCTCTTAATGGGCAGTGACATGTTAACCAGCTCTCTGTGGCAGCACCCCAGCTCTCAGTCTCATTGGCCACCACGTTTCCTTACCCCTGGGACAAAGTCCAGTCTTAGCAACATCATATGAAGCCCTATATTCTTACCATCCATTCGAGCCTCATCCTTCCTCCTGCATCAGGGTGCGTCTCCACAGTCCTCCACACCTGGAAGGCCCAGGCCACTCTTACTTACCTTTTTATGGTGCAGCTTCTGTTATGATTTGCCCACACAGGTCCTTATGTATGTTCAGTTTTTAAAATAATTCAGTATTTATCTCTCTAATTAACATCGTCCAGGAAATAATAGACATATTTTCCTTATTATCTAATAAATACCCAGTAATTAAAATGAGAAGTATCCATACATGTTCACCATCATTGGATTTTTTTTTCTGTATTGTGGCTACTGTTCTACATGCCCTAGGCATATTTATTCATTTGAGGCTCCTAATAACCCCCATGAGCGGGAACTAAAGTAATTTTTTTCTTACAGAAAAGAGTTCTGGGGCTCACAGCCTGTCGAGGCCAGTGTCACACAGATAATAAGAGGTTGACATGGCATTCAAGCTTAATCATTGGCTAGGCCACACCTTTGCCCTCTTCACACATCATCTCCATAGGTCTTACTGCTGCAGAAGCCTTCAACATTTGAACTCTAGGACAGCAGAGCCCGTTCTGATGGGAAGGTGAGTCATCCGGTGAGGAGGACGGTAGGACATCCAGAAAAGGGGACCTGGTAGAAAGCAGCACCCCAGCTGTCTGAGGTTTTCTAGACTTGCTTTAGGACTCTCCTGAACAAGTTGGCATCACCGTTCTGGCAGAATCTCAGGCTGCTGGCTTTTTCTGCTGTCCTGTGCACTTTGGGTCTCCAGAGATGCTCTGAGCTTCCCAGCTCCAAGTAAAAAAGCTATGGAGCCGGATTGCCCAACTGCTGCCTACACCGCACAAGCACGGCCCCTGGTTGCACACAACAGAGGCCTGCCCGCCACAGAAGAACCTCAAGGTCATGTACTAAGCCTTTGTGGTATCTACGCTTTATCTTTAAAAGAAAAATCTTAACTTGAGTCATCTCTTTCCCTGGTGTTGAGAGTTTCAAGGAATCTGTGCATGTTAATAGTCATTCCTGTCACATGCCTGTCACCGTGGCTGGGAGCCTGTGTGTCACAGCATTTGAGATGATGCAGTCAGATACTATCGTCCAACTCAGCATCTCTCTGAGAAACCCATGCTCAACCACATCCCTGTGGGTAATAAACAGGATGGATGTCCTCTATCCCCTGATAGACTGTTATCTACAAATGTATAACTCAAAAGGAATTACCACCAATATTCTTTTAATTGGAAATATCCTTCTTCCGCCTAAGCAGATATGTGCAAGCCCCTTTCTTACTGAAGCCATCCACTGCAGAGGAACATGTGTGTGAATGACAGCCTTTTAATCTTCTCTTGTAATCAGCTCCCTGAGCCCGAATGCTGAGTCTGTGAAACTGGCAAGCCCTGTCTACTCCTTGGCTCCCTCCTGCCGCAGGCTCCAGTGGTCTGCCCTGCCCTTCTCCCTAACTTTAGCACTGGGACTCTTTCGAAAGTCAGAATGGTTTTTCACCCTGGGCTTCATCCTCCATTAAAATCAGCCGACCTAGAAAAAAAAAATAAAGCTTAGGCGAGGCGGCTTTTCTGATCCCATTATTGATAAGCTCTTAGAGTTCATCAATGAAAATTAGAAGTTGTTAATCCCGTACATTTGCCCCCCTTGATTTTTAATTACAGAAAGGAGAAGGAATGGATAACGTCTGGGGTTGCAAAGACACCGAAGCTGTCAAGAGAAAATTAAATTTACAGTCAGAGAGTTTTGTTTTCTCGAGTGTCCTTATAAAATGCAAAAGAGGCTCCTGGCATCACCAAGGCAATTCAACTGGTTTCCTAAACTGGCAGGATTTTCTTCGAAGAAGCCCTCCTTCCTTTGCCAAGAGAGTGTATTAATGACAAGGACTGGACCTAAAGGGAACTCATTCAGAAGAAAACTGCATTAAAAGAACATTAAGGGCGATGTTTTAAAGTCTGATTTAAACTCATGAAAGCAAGGAGATTTATTGTTGAAGCCAAATCGCCGTGCTGACGCGCCCTGCCTGGTAATGCATTCTGATTGGAGCACAGGGGATTGAATCTGTGCAGAGACATCGCTCACTGTGGCCTCAGCATTCCCGCTGCTGAGCGGGAGATAGTGATGGGGGGG